TCTGAGTTCAATCCTGGTTTTAACTATTTGTGTTCCACATTGAAGAAGAGAGAAATAAAGGGCATCATGCTTGTAATTCATCCTAAGACATTTCATAACATTTCATACATATATTACTATAAAGCACATCCAGGAGAAAATTTTGAACAAAAATTTAGCAGAATGTTTTCACTTAAAGAAATTTTTGAATCACCTTTCTGGCAATGTTTCTGTAAATATAAAGTTAATAAAATAAAAATTGTGAGTTTCTTACTTGCCTTTTAAATAAAATAGCTAAAATATACCTTAGAATTTAACATCTAGACAACATAAGTAAAAACCTCCCTTCATAGTTCTATAGTTATATATTTCCTTGGCCATCTGAGTCTAGAGTCCTCCAAAGAAAAGCTTATCAATTGAGAAATCTATCTCTTCCATTTTTAAAAAAGAAGTTTCCTGACAGAGCATAAATGTATTTAGAGAAATAATATAAAGTAAAAGCCAGTCATCTGAGATTCTGCTAGTTTTGCTCTTAGAGTAGAAACTGTATCTACAAGGCGGTTGTTCAAATATCATCTTTGTAATATTAGTCTTGCTTGGAACACTGAAGGACACACGAAAGAGTTATCCAATCAAACATTAAAGACAAATTAGACATTTTAAATATTGTGACTTGGCAATTGAAATGTATAGAATAAAGAGAGCGTAACTTGGAGAATGGTAGCTGAGTGTCTTAAAATGATCATTAGGAGAAAGTCTGACAGTGACTGGAAATAGAAACAATATAATTGGCTAAGATATTGCTAACGAAGCATTAATATGATCCCTGAAAAATAAATAAAATCCCAGTGAGTAGCAAAAATCAATAAAGACTAATTTAACTTTTGATTTGAAAGTATTAAGGGTAATAAAGTTTCCAATTCCTGCTACTAATGTTAAAACCTATGCTAAGGTAATGTCTTGGCTACTGGGATTTGGAGATAGACTTCCAATTCTACTGTCCTCCTCCACATTTCCTGTGTATTGAACAATCCACAGTTTAGTTACTAAAACAAAATAAAACAACAAAACAAAAAAACACCACCTTGAAAGTTACTATATGAGTGTTTCTTTGTTCAGAATGCCAAATCGGAAACATAATACATTTATATAGCGTGAGAAAGGAAGCTTTGTCCAGGAAAATACGACAGTTTTCACATTGACACCTGTAGGAAACTCTTCAAGTTTCCTATAGGTGAGTTTCACTTCAAGGGGCTCTCTAGCCAGTGTCTCCTGTTTGCAGGGAGGTTGGGGAGATGGCTCAGTAGGTAAAGTGTCTGTCATGTAAGTACAAGGACCTGAGTTTGGATCCCTGACACCTACACGATGATTGTGATTGTTAACATCTGTAACCCCAGAACTGTAGGACAGGGGAGGAGGTAGTGAGGAAAGAAACAGGCAGACTCCCCCAGAGCTCGCCCCACAGCCAGTCCTAGACAACCAGTGAGTTCTAGGTTCAGCAAGAGATCCTGTCCCAAAAGATGAGACAGAGAGGGATAGCGGAAGACGTGGAAAAGCTGGTGTGGACCAATGACCAAGGTACATACACATGCACCACACACATGCACACATCCAACACACACATGCATATATACATATACACTACATACACACATGTACCACAGAGATGCACATACACACAAACACCACATATATCCACACACACTTGCACCACACACATACACACATACATCACACACATGTACCACACATACACATACACACATGCACTACACACATACATACTCACATACACCACACATGCACATACACACATGCACCATAAACATGCACATACACACATACACCACACACATGCACACACATACACTATACACACACCACACACACACACAAAACACACATACACATACATACACACCCACCACAGACACTTTTACTAAAAGGTGAAAAACAAAGTAATTTACCCCCCCCAAAAGATGCTTTCTCTGCATTTTTTGCTGTAAGACTGCCATGTGGAATGCTTTTCTTCCTGTCTTCCTGGTCTGCTCTGCTCAGTACAGGTAAAACACTGCCCCATCTCATTTTCAGCTCTCTCTCTGTCTGTCTGTCTGTCTGTCTCTCTCTCTCTCTCTCTCTCTC